ATATAGCCTTCTGGGTATAGGTCGAGGCACCTGAAAATATTTCACATTAAAAATTCAAGATTTATTGCATAACCAGCTTGTAAGGTTCTAACTGAAAAAGGTTCTTATCAAAAGTCAAATCGACCAGCCGATGGATAATACCGGGCCAATCCTGTACCTGCCTAACTGGTAAGTTATTCATGTACTGAGTTTATCCATCCACTAAGCTCCATCCTATACCCTGGCGCAACCCTGACACAGGGGATAAATAATGACACGTAAGACGGTAATGTAGCGTTCCAACAAGTACATACATGGATAGATTACCTAAATCTGACATATCGTGGCCTTGATTTGACAATTAATTAACACTGGCTAAAGTCCCGTCACCCGTAATTGATTATATCGTAGAAAGCTATCTTCTGCTGGACAGACCAAGAAAACATAAAATGTGAGATTTCTAAATGCCAAATCAGTAAAAATCCGTTATGTTACATATATGTGAGACAAAAATGTGAAAGACTGTTCTCCTCTGTTGGTTGAAACTACAACTACCCTTAAAATAGTTTGCAACACTGTAAAGTGGTGGCAAGTCAAAATGTACAATTTACGCCATGGGACAGCAAGATGTTAACAGACGTTAACATCGTTGTTGTAAAAGCATTACCTTGAATGAAAAGCGTAATCGGAAAGCTGCTAAGACAAACCTCATAAGAATATCAGCAGTTGAGAAATGTAAACCCAGTAATCGGCAGCTTGTTTACATCAATATATGATTAATGTGTATTCTGTAATTGAGTCTGAACTTACAGCTTGTTCTGAAGTACAGGATAACCTCTGCTGATTGCACTGGTGTCTGCAGATCCACCTTCCACCAGGCGCTAGTTAGCCCTTCTGCGGTGTGGACAAAAAAGAAATAGGCTCCTGTGTTTCCATCAACAGCCCTACTGGCGGGATAGTTTCCGTTGTAGATTGAACTCATCCTTGCTGGTTTGTTCAGGGCAACGTTTGAACCAGCAACTGATAAATGAGAACATAAATCTACACAAAGAATGATAACAGCTGGTAATGATGACAACAGGAACATCTGGCATATGCTAGTAATTGTATGTATATACAAGACCCATATTTTCAGTTCTCACTGGTATCGTTCACAATGTAGCCCCTCAAAACGATACAGGTTGAAATACGTGGTCACCTCTGCAAACGTGACGAGAAGTATCAAAGTGTTTTCAGTGGTATGTTCAAACAGGTCAGTTATATTTAAATGTAACAATTTTAATGGTTTTCAGCTAATAATTTAAGATGTAACACCATCTGCTCTTCGTTTACAGGAAACTTTTCCTAAGCCAACTGATAAATCTGATTTACGACGGTACAACTCATACCACTGCTTTTGCTCCCCAGGTGACAAAGCAACTGGAGAATCGTCTGTTTCGGTGAGGCAGGGCGTCATTTGCAGTGCCGTACCTCTCAGTACCCCGCTATTTCAGTTCGTATGACATTAAATGTGTACTTCCACAGTCGACTTGTCTTTAACAGTCTGATCTTCATCACCTTATGACCAACTCCCCAAACCTTGCGTTATTATGGGAGATCTAAATGTTCACAACCTGCTTTGGTGTAGTAGTCACAGCAATAGAAAACGTAAAGCACAAGAGGAATTCTTCTTAAACACCGATTTATGCATATTAAATGATGGTTTAAATAGATGTCGACATGCACGTATTGGAGCTTACTCTTGTCTGAGTTGTGGATTCTCAGTTGCTGAGTGAATTTGAATGGTCAGTTCACGTTGACCTCTGTGGAAGTGACCATTTTCCCACCAAATTGAAATCTGTGACATCATCTGATGATCCTCCATCATCACGATGGAACTTTGCTAAAGCTAATTGGGCTTTTGTATGGAATAGATCGTGAAAATATACTCTTCTCTAACGTGCCTAAAAAATAGCTGATGAATGTGTTCCAAAGTCCTCTGCAAATCCTCACATACGTAAGCCATGGCTGACTGCAGAATGTAGACAAGCTTGGAAGGCCCGGGAAAAGGTTGAACAGTATTTACGTCGCAATCCAATAGGCCTTATTAAACACGAAGACTAATTTTTAACTGATGGATCAGATATTGTGAATAAACTGGATGAAACGCTTGCTAAATATTCTTCCTCAGCTATGTTCCTAAATTTCAGAAATATAAAGTACAGCAGGAAACGAAACCCATCAATTCTAATTCCGATAATGCAGGCAATTATAATGAAATATTTTCTATTTATGAACACCACACTGCTCTTGAACAGGTTCACGATACCGCTCCAGGAACTGATGACATACATTATCAGCTCCTGATACATTTACCAGAATTATCTTCAAAAACTTTATTAAGTATATTTGATGAAATCTGGATGTCTGGAAAATGTCCTTCATCCTGGCATGATGTCAATGTTGTACCCATACCAAAGTGTGGATGTGATCATACCGATGCCTCAAATTAAAGACTCATTCTTTCATTGACGCGTTGTGTTTTCAAAAGCATGAAATGCATAATCAACAAGAGATTAACACGGTACTTAGAATCTAATAATTTAATCACAAATATTCATGCACCAACTTTAACAAAATCAAATTTACCAAAACATAAGGTTTTCTGATGCAAACAAACTTGTCCAAAGATCTGATACTAAAACACCATCAAAACACCATCAAGCAATAAAGTATCCCAATCATCAACAAGCTGTGAAACAAACTACACTTTTGCAATGTCTTCTGAAACTGCAGAATCTCTTTCTGGTACGTCCGAAAGGCAGTCATATTCCGATCATAACGCATGCTCTCGGTCACGTTGACATTCTTAATCGTCGTCTAACATTCAACGAATTATTAAAATAAACCTGAGCCTAATTCTTAAAAAATCAGAGAATGCAATTATTTTATAAATGGATCTTAAGAGGACATGGATGTGTTCTGAAAAGCTGTTCTAGGGCACATAGCTTGTCGACCACTGAAAAAAGTGAGAGATAGATCCACCACCCCGGCGATAGGGCCACAGTCAATACAGTCCATAAACTATGACCGCACCAATATTATGGTGTCAAAAAACGGCTTTTAATGTATATATAATCATTATCCGGTAAGCCAGTACTCAGTAACCACAGCAAAGTCTAACGTAAAACTGTGTGGGAAATTTAATATTAAAGAAACCAGGAATCCTGCAACATCGAAAAGCAAGAAATTCAAAATTCCAATTCCAATTCGTTTTAGATCATGTTGTTTTTTTTTTTCAGAAACAGGATGAACAGAAATGCTGGTGTTTTCTGACGCTAAATTAACAGTCTGATTTTCTGGTTCAACATTGTTTTGATTGTTTGGTATAGTTTACATGCTGCCGTCATATGGCAGTCGTGTTGCTGAGTGGTGTAGGACAGGAACGTCGGGTGAATGGTATGTGCTCTCGGCAGAAAAAGCCTAATCGTTTTGAAAACACAGGGATCATCAACCCGTGAAGGTCCGGGTTAGAATGAACATTCAGTAACCCATGCTTGTTGTAAGAGGTGACTAACGGGATATGGTGGTCAGGCTAGCTGGCTTGGTTGACACATATCATCGGTTCCCAATGGCGCAGATCCATGCTCATGCTCTTGATCACTGGGTTGTCTGGTTCAGACTCAATTATTTACAGACCGCCGCCATATAGCTGGAATATTGGTTGGTTTTATTTTCAAACTGTGATATAGATCACGGTAGACTAAAGCATCGTAGAAATCGTGTCTAATTCAAATATTGTATGATGAGCATTTTGCACTCTGTTGCGGTGCATAATATATAACTGATTTGTGCATTTGGATAAGATTGTTTTTCTTGAGTATACATGGCTCCAGGAGCTAAACTGAATATATTCAAGCCATCAGGTGTGATACTGGTTGTGTGTACTTTCACACTTCACATCAAGCATGTCCTGCTTGACTGTATTGATTTTTTCCGTCACAAGGTATAAATAGTTCAATGTTAAAACAGTGAAGGATCTTTTTAATGTAAATTATCATTTAATCCTTGAACGTTTAAAAGAAATAGAATTGCTAGATAATTTTTTAAAAATCGTTTGTAAATAGATAAGTATTTTATTATTGGTTGCTTGGATTAGTAGCTGGGATGGCTAGTGGCTGTACCCTCAAAGGGGGTTGAAGGATTGTAAAATTATGGTCCTCCTGAGAGGGTACGTAAGTCCCAAAACTTTTAAAGTCAATTAAAACTTACCAGGATTTTTAAACGTAGTATTCTTGTTATTTTAATTTTGGCTAACTTTTCTTACAATCGCCACCAGCTGAAGGGATGGTGTGAATCCAACTAGGGTCCCTGCAGGTTGCAAAGGGGGGTAAAGTATTGTCAAATTATTGCCCTCCCGAGAGGGTACGTAAGTCCCAAAACATTCAAAGTATATTAAAACTGTCCACTGTTTTAATCGTAGAATATGTGTCTTTGTTAGACTAGATTATCTAAAATTGCTAATAGCTCAAGGGATGGTGTAAATCCAACTAGGGTCCATGCAGGAAGCAAATGTACTGTAAGTCCCCATTGTCCCTAGTATGGTGATCTACCTTCAGTTGTTGGCGATATATAGCCTGTTTTTATATTTTATTGTCCAAATAGTACTATTAGTTTGAACTTTCCACGCTAGTTTTAATTCTAATTGTGATATTCTAGTTGTTTTACTGCCCTTTGTCGACAGGTTTATAAAATGTCCACATGTTCCATGTCAATGTCAAATATGTTTCCGTCACGATATGGCTGAAATATTGCCGATGTGACGTTAAATATTAACTCACTTCAAACTTCACATAGAAATGGGGGGAAAAAGAGTACTTAGATCAAAAGAACAGAATTGAAAGGCGTGATATATAATTATTATAACTTAATATAAAGATATTGATAGTGTGTTTTTTTTATAAGTGTCACAATATGATAGTTGGTCTTCAATGAAAGTTTTTTCAGTATAGTTACTACTTCACACACAAGACCATACTTACTCCACACCTGGACTTCAGCAAAGTCTAATATAACTCCATTGTGATCATTATCAGTCTCTGAGAAGACAGTCAGGTAGCGCCAGGTCCCACGACAGACCACATGCAGTACGTCATCGATGTCTGTACCGTCAGGATATCCTGTTACAGTATGGCATAGATTTCCTTCTTTGGGATCAGTCGAATTTGTTTCAGATGTGTAGAGCTGCACGCCATTACGTCTATACCTGACTGAAACATGTAGAGATACACAGAACTCAATGGAGTGCTTCTCAATCAAAATAACCACAAATACTAGTGACGGTAACTAACAAGTACGGCATAGAAACTCACATTTTACATACCAGGTAATACAGTGCCCTTGAGTAATTCCAAAAATTGTTTGACACTATGTATTTTGGTTAACGTTAGTACTATACTGCAACGAGGTGCAGAGACGTTTGTCTTTCCGTGAATTGTTTGGTGTGCTTTTTTTGTGTGGAATTCACCGGCTGTTTCATAATGGTACCCAGCTATATATTTTCCACCAATGAATATGTTAAATGTTCCTTCACACACGAACGACGGTAACATAGAGTGAGTGGCGTCATTTGAAGTGGTATGACAGATTTGTTGAGTGCTGATTGAGCTGCAGTGTATCACCAATAGTTCCAACATGGCTGGGTAACCAACAAAATGCCATATTGTCCAGTTAATTCTGTTCAAAGTTCATTAAAATTTCAATTAAAGGTGGACGTGAACGTGATGTGTAATTGACAGATATATGAAAATGCTACGAACTGCATCAATATTGACTGTTTGCTGTCATATTTAAGAGTTGTTAAAATGACAAATGGTTATGTAGTGAAAACAGAGTTTAGATGATTTAGTTGAGACAGTTTCTGATGCAATGACGGTGGTGCTGGCAACTATGTCACCATTCGTGGATACATCTGTAAATATGCAGTGACTGACATCAAGAGCATCAACGTGGACTTGATGATCCAGTGATTGACATCACGGGCATTGATCTTCCAACTGGGATACGGTAACCTGACTCAGCCAAATCAGCCAACAACCTCCCATGACAAGCATAGTTGTCGAGCATCATTGACAATGATCTAGCCAGTGATTATCAACTGGCAGCACTGAAGATACTTATAGGGCACATTCCATCATATTAACACATGATATGTAGCTGTAGCGTATTGGAATGAATAACTAACTTGGGAAGGATATGGACATTGCCTAGTATGCAATGTTACAGTACCCTTCTGGGTATACGACCCTTGACAACTGAAATATTTCACATTAAAAATCATAGATTTATTGCCTAACCAGTTTGGGACGTACTAAAGGAAAATAGCCTTTAAAATCAAAAGTCAAATCAACCAACTGATTGATAATACCGGGTCAATCCTGTTCCTGGCTAGCTGACAGCTGACAAAAGGGTAAGCTATTGCTGGACCGACTTTATTCACCTAATAAGTCAATTAACACTTATCAGAGGGTTACACAAAGTTCATGGTCTAGACTTTCACCTGTCCGACTTCAATTTTTGTGGCTAAGGGACCGTTCATAATTTATGGCTAGGGGTTGATGATTTTTATTGGGAAGCATGTACAATGTGAATGTCCCCACACACACACACACTAAAATCTATGTACAAAATAAGTGACCCCGTATGTCATGTACAAAATTAAAGACCCCCTCCTTCCTATAATTTCTAAGCATAATTTTAAACATAATTATATGTACAAAATTGCTAGTACGTGTGTACAAAATTGATGCCCCAGCTCCCCAGAACAAATTGGATAACCCCCCTTAAAATCATCATCATTCCCTCTAGTCATCAGTTATGAACGGTCCCTAAGGCAGCACTCAACAAATCTGTGACACCACTTCTTATTCCACACTCTGATCATAAAGCTAACATCAGATCTTATATTCGTGATCTGATGCAAGAAAAAGGGACACCCAAGTAGGTATAAATAAATGACATGAAATAAAACCCTATATTGCTTACACCTACTTGGGTTGTCAGTCCAGATTTGAAGAGGTCATCATACGACGATGTCGCATTGGCCACACTAGATATACACACGACTATCTATTAAAGGTGAGGATCCTCCGTATTGTATCCCTTGTGATGAGAGAATCACGGTCAATCATGTCCTGCTTGACTCTGTTGATTTTTTCCATCACAAGGGATAAATCACTAGTGTTAAAACGGTCAAAGATCTTTTCAATAATGTAAATTATCATTCGATTATTGAGTTTCTAAACAGAAACAGAATTGTCGCATAAATCTTGAAATCAGTTTTGTAAATAGATAGATTAATGTTGTATTATTGGTATTTGAGATTATCATCTGAGTTTGTTAGTGGCTGTTTCCTCAAAGGGGGTTAAAGTACTGTAAAATCATTGTCATCCTGCGAGGATATGTAAGTCCAAACCTTCAAAGTACATTTCAACTAGTATTTGTGTGATTTGAAATTTTATTTTTCTACAATCGCCAGCGGCTGAAGGGATGGTATAAATCCAGCTAGGGTCCATGCAGGTAGCAAAGGTACTGTAAGTCCCTATGGTTCCTAGTATGGTGATCTGCCTTCGGTTGTTGGCGATCTATAGCCCGTTTTGTTATATTGTATTGTCCTTATTTGAAATCCAGTTTTAGAGTTTATTTGAGTCTGTGATATTCTAGTTGGTTCGTTGTCCTTCTTTGAGGCTTTTAGTGAGTTATATGTATTTATGATGAAGTTAAAAACTTGTTTTAGTCACGATATGGCTGAAATATTGCCGATGTGACTTTAAATTTTAGCTCACTCACTCTGTATTTGTGGAAGCCGCGGTGGTTGAGCGGGGTTAGAAGGCTGACTTTGTGTGCTGGCGAGTAGGTGCCTGACAAACATTAAAATCAGTTATGTTACATATATGTGAGACAAAATGTATAAGAATGTTTTGCTCTGCTAGTAGAAACTACAACTACCCTTAAAGTAAGTTGCAACACTGTGTAAGGTGGTGAGAAATCTCAATGTAAAAGGTTACGGCATGGGTTAGCAAGATGTTGACAAGCGACGTGTCATTCTTGTAAATTCACAATGAATATCTTACGTAAGGTATCCTGAATAACATCAAACTTGAATGAAAAACTTAGTTTGAAAGCTGCTATGACGCACCTTAACATAATATCAGCAACTGGAAAATGTAAACGCAATAATCATAAGCTGATGGTATACTGCATGAAGTGAAACACCGCACTCAGTAAGACGTTGACATCAAGCTCTATGGTTTGGCGTTGTTTAACATCGCACTCAATAAAATCCAGCTCTATGGTGGCGGTCTGTAAATAAATCACCGGGACCAGAATCTAGTGATCAATAGCATAAGCATCGCTCTACGCAACTGGGATACAATGACATATGTCAACCAAGTCAGTGAGCCTGACGACCGGGTCCCGTTAGTCGCCCCTTACAATAAGCATGAGTTCCTGCAGACCAATTATAACGCTGATCTTCACGGGTTCACATCAATATGGGTTGTAATGCATGGTTCCAGGAAATAGCCTACATATGGTTTTCAACATGTTTCCCTTAACTAATTCTGTTTTTTAAGATAAATGCGTATTATGTAAATGAGTCTATACTTACAGTCTGTCCTGAAGTACAGTATAACCAGTGCTGATTCTACTGGTGTCTTCAGATCCACCTTCCACCAGGCGGTAGGCAGCCATTCAGTGGTGTGGACTACATATCTAGGATCGTGAGCCCTTGTGTCTCCATCGACACCTCTACTGGCGGAATGCTTGTCGTTCAAGGTTGAACTCATCCATGCGGGTTTGTTCAGGGCAACGTTTGAGCCAGTACCTGATAAAGAGAACACAGGCCTACATTAAGAATGATAACAGTTGATAATGATGACATCGTGATCATCTGGCGTTTGTTATGTATATACAAGACGCATATTTTCAGTTTTCACCGGTACCGTTTACAATGTAGGCCTCGAGGCAATAGAGGTTGAAACAAGAGGCCGTCTCTGCAAACGTGATGAGAAGTATCAATGTGCGTTCAGTGGTATGTCCATACTGATCAAGGAAAAACAAATGGAACTTCAGTGCTCTTCGGAACAATTTTAATGATTTTCAGCTAATAATTCAGGATGTAAAACCTTATCTTTGTGTACAAGAAACTTTACTCGAATCCACTGATAAATTTGATTTACGACATTACAACCTATACCTATACTTTTCTTTCCCAGGTGACAAAGCATCTGGAGCGTCATTTGCAGTGCTGTTGTTTTCACATTTTGTTCATTGTGCATTCTACCGTTGATTTGTCTTCAACAATCTGATCTTCAGGCACTTTATGACCAACTCCTCTTGCGGAGGTCTAAATGGCCAAAAATCTGCTTTGGGTAATAATCACAGTAATAAGCAATAGAAAAAGGTAAAGTACTGGAGGAATTTGAATAGTCTGTTCACAATGACCTCTGTGGAAGTGACAATTTTCCCACCATATTGAAATCTGTGTGGACGTTTATTTAAAAAAACGAGAAATGGTTGTATGAAGGTAAAGAATTAGAATGCTCCAGTTCGGACAAATATTTGGAATGTTTTCAGTAAGTGTTTATCTTGGACAACACATGTTGCTGCTAGCAAGCACAAAAGGTCATGATTGGTATCTTTAAACAATTAAATGTACTTGGAAACATAAATATAAGTTCATACTTTAAATACTCGATGCCAAAATTAAGGTAATTGTATTGTATGGAGCTGAAATCAGGGGTTTGAATTATAACAATAATATCGAAAGAGTTCAATTGAAAGCATATAAAATGCCTTGGTATTGCATCTAGCACGATGAATACAATGGTGTATGGAGAATGTGGTAGATATCTGATGCACTTATTTACAAATATCAGAGCTATAAAATACTGGGTAAAATTATTGAAGGTGCCTCCTTATAGGCTACCAAAGATATGTTACAATATGATGCCATTCGATAAAAATGGACACACAAATTGGGTTTCTCCTCTTTTCTACTCTCAAAGGGTTTTGGTTTTCTGTGGAACTATCAGTATGTTAACTCTGACGATAAGTATATTTTAGAACTATCAAGATTATTAAAAGATATCTATTTGCAAGAATGGTTTGAAAAGGTATCACTTTCAGTAAATGTTTTATCATAAGATGTTTAAATGTACTTTAGATGCAGAAATGTATATTTCATGTGTAAGCGTAAAAACGTTCAGGATAGCGTTAAGTAATACACAACACCATGTTAGGAAGTGGTCAAATGTAACATATGTTATATTTAGGATTACACTCTCTCACTATGACCACTTTCTAAAATGACATTGTGTATTTTATAGCTTTCGGCCGTGGGAGCCGTGCCAATTAACACTTATCAGAGGGTGCACAAAGTCCGCAGTCTAGACTACCAGTTGTCCGATTTCAATTTTGTGGAAGCCACGGTGGTTGAGCAGTCTAGGCGTCTGACTTTGTGTGCTGGCGATTGGGCGCCTGACTCTGAGGCTGTGGGTTCGAATCGGATGGGACTCAACCCCAAAAAATACTATACATGTGCTTTACTGAGAGTGTAATCCCAAATATAACATATGTTAGCGTTAAGTAGGGTAAGATGTTCTTCACATGATTTATTTATCAAAAGTGGAAGATTTAAAACTGTCTAAAAAAAATAGAATTTGTAGACTTGGTGATCTTAACCAGAGATAAGATGAATATATTATTTTCTTTTAATTTGGCCCTTATAATTTCCTGAGAAAGTTGTATATTATGAGATACTATTTGGTCCATCAAACCTATACACATCTCAGCATTATTAAAAAGAAAAAACAACAATACTTCATGTTGTTTAAAACAGAATATATCTCAGAGCACAATGTAAGCTACCCTTGATTTTTCTTTCCTCCTGTGAATGACATATGCATGTAAAGATTGTTTTGTAAATGTAATGTATACAGGGCTGTGACCTTTCAAAGGTTTTAAGTGATTCATTAGATAATGATTTTAATAATAATTGCCATGGCGAAAACATGAATGCTATTGAAAGGAAACGGCATCTTTGTTTCAATAAAATTAATAAAAGGGAGTTTAGAAAGTGGATTTAAATTTTCAAAATCAAAACCTTATTGCATCCATTTTTGTCGAAAATATAAAATTCACAGAGTTAAATGGCACCCTTATTAACGTTGTTAAGGATATTATTGGGTATTATTGGGTATTATTTACGATCACCATTAAACCTCTAAATCACTATAAAAAGAACAAAGAGATGGTAAGATGGTTAAATTGTTATTATTTCATTGCTGAGATCTGTGTGATGTACTCGATACACTGACAGTGCCATAATCAGTTCCATTAGGCTACACCGCCGTTCCAACCATGGGTGTACAGAATGTCAAGTCACAAGAATAAAAATGCAAAATTTCTCAATTCAATATCGTGTATGGCCGCCCGCGCATTCACCACTGCCAAACACCGTCTCCTCATCGACTGCCTGATGCTTGTGAACACGTGGTTGGGGATTCTGCGCCATTGCTCTTGCAAGGCAGCGCCAAGTTCCTGCAAATTCTGAGGTTGGTTCCTAAGACCACGAAGCCTTCTCCCAAGTGCATCCCAAACGTGCTCTATTGGATTAAGGTCAGGGGACCCGATGGCCAGTCCATGACGTTGATTCCAGCGTTTTGAAGGAAATTTCGTGTCAACATCGCGGTATGCGGCCGAGCATTATCATGCTGGAACTGCAGACCTGGGCCATGAGCCGCCATGAAAGGAACGAGTTCAGGGGTGAGCACCTGGTCGCGGTAAGCAGCAGCTGTGAGGTTTCCACGGATGACCAGAAGTCGGGAACGGTTGTTCCCACAGAAAGCACCACACCGTGCAACTTCCGCCCCAGATCTGTCGACTTCCTGTACACAACATTGGGCATACCGTTCACGACGTCGTCTCAGACTCTATGCCTGCCGTCCGCGAATCTGAGGGTAAACCTGGATTCATCGCTAAAGACGGCTCGATTCCAGTCTCTCTGGGTCCATCGGAGGTGACGTTGGACCCACAGCAGACGTTGACGTTGATGAAACGGCGTCAATATTGGTCCTCGATATGGACGTCGAGGAATGGAGATTGGCAGCCCGCAACCGATTTCAGAATGGTCTGTGAGGACAGTCGACCTCTAAACATCTCAGCCCTGGTTCGTGTAGCCGGCAGAAATCTGTCACGTAGGTGACGTAGGACGATTGACGGTCTTCTGCTCGTGACGTCACACGTGGACGACCCGACTTTGGGCGATCAGAAGTGGTGCCAGTTTGTTGTAGACGACCTCGCAAGTCATACACAGTACGACGGCTGCATCCCATTGCTCTTGCGACGTCAATAACTGATCTTCCCGCTTGCAACATGCCAACGGCACGTTCACGTTGCACATTTGACAATCGTGGCATTTCAAGTACCGTTAGAACTGTGGTTTAAAAGTGTTTTTTCAATTCTTGAGGCCAATGCAAACACGTGCATATGAAGAAAACTTCGATGCGAAGATCACGTGATCGACTGCACGTGCAAAACCTGATTTGGCACTAACGTCATTTGCACGACGAATGGATGGGTTTGAGTGGGTTTTGCTAACGTTTTCTAGAGTCGAAAGATAGGGATCCCATTTCGGATACATAGATGTATCATCAGAGAAAAATTATTCATTATTTTTCAAATTACATTTTGTGATGTTTCTTTTTTGACTCAGTATATATTTACAGATTGATCTAATGATAGTGGCGCAGTAACGTTGCTTATGCCAGAACAATATTTTTCTTGATTACGAAATAACAGCACTATTTTTACAACAGCAGCAGCCGCCATATTAACAACTCCTAAATATATTAAAATACACCCTGAATATAAACAATATATATTAGTCTTTCCAGATTGACTTTCGTGCCTTCAGGCTATTAACAACTTATCGTGTAGGCATCAATTTATATTGAAATAACTGAATAATAGAATGATCTTGCAGCTGGACAATACGACATCGTCTTTTATTGGTTATGTTGTACCTATCAATTTTGATATGTTGTAAGTGCATTCATCAAAATCTATATTGTGTACGAAATGTGTCAGTGTTTTATTCGTTGAGGGCAAACCTGGGTTATGTTTCCGTACCAGACGTCTAAGGGAAATAACTCTCTGTGACCGCCAAGGTTAGACCCTTGGTGTCATCTGTTCTTCTGCACTGACCATCTTGTCAGCAATGATTCATCGAACATAAATGGTTGACCCAAATACCTCTTGTGTTTTCAGGCATGTATCTCTGTTTTACTGTCAAGATAAGGCCGCAACACACATAACACTATGCATAACAAGTTTTCATAGACTTGTAATACAGGTAAATGTGAGTTAAGTAATGTTTGCTAGTTTTACGTTAGCGCTGCCCACGGCAGACATATTATGATCGTGAAGGTCATTTAATATGTGAGTGCCAAATGTAGACATGATGGATATATTTCATTGTTAATAGTGTAGACAGTATAATCTAGAATAATGTACATTATTAGCAACATTTTTCTAAAATGCTGTCATATACATGCGTGATTATTTCGCTGTAGTTCTACCACCAAACTCTATCATGTACTGCAAGTATTTGGCAGAATCATTGTTAACCATGATGTTGTTGCATTATGACATGCAGCTGATGTCATACAAATCTAACTAGTGCATTTACACTAAAATATGATCAGATAAAGTTAGATCACTCTGCGTGTCTTGTCAACAGTGATTGTATTTGCACTTGAGCTGTAGTGTGATTTTACGACACTTCAGTAAGAATGTAATACACTGCAACTAAAATCACATTTA